TTGAAAACACGCATGCAATTGGCACTGGCGAGAGCTTTATATGTATCACGCATGTGCGAGTCAACTTAGCCTTTTATAGTATGGAATAAACTTGCTTAATTAGACCTGCTTTCTGATTTAGCTCAACTTTTTCCAGCCCAGTGCAGCACCCCGACTTCTCTTTCAGGTAATTGTCAGCAACACAGCAGTAAATATCAACACAAAGCAGATTATTATTATAGATCACCCAGGGAGAACAAAGGGTAAAATATTTAACTGCAGCAGTGTTTGACTATATTCTGTGCAGTGAGAAAACCTGAAATCATTTTCAAGGTCCACCATTTCTTACTTCTTTTCAGTTGGGTCAAGTTTCTAAGCTTTCTAAATCTCTGTTTTCTGGCTAATGAAAAGAAAATAGGATTCTACCAAGTTTCCTATCTACCTACTCCAGGACTTCTGTGAGGCTCAAATGAGATGAAGCACAGGAAAATGCTTCACAGACATTTGGTTAAAATGTAAAAATGTTTCCACCTGGCTATAAAGCAAGTCATGTTCCTGGGCTGAAGCAACTGCAAGGAGGCTAGTCGCTAGGGAGAGGAAGCCGGGCATTGCTACATGATGTCATTACCCCGATGGGCACTTAGCATATTAGCCTTTTATATAGAGAGAGATTTTGAGGTTCATGCTCAGTTGACAATTTCCTTGTTTCTTCTTACATACACATTTCAGCTCTGAGCACAATTTGACAATTCTTTCACCATATTTTGTTACCTCCCTATGCTTCTCCTCATAGCAGCTATTGCAAAAATTTTTACACTCCATACACCCTTCAAGTCCTTTCCCCCAAATTTTCTCCCCTCCTTGTTTTCTAACATAAAGATGCTTTCCCCTTTATTATAAGCCAAATGGGAAGATTGTAATTCTGTCTCATTATTGAGGGACTCAAATTCATGGGGCAAAGAATCAAGAAAACCTTCAATTAAGATGAAGTAGCCAGATATTCATTTGAAACTGAGGAGAGGCATAAATAATTCCATTTGAAACAATAGTGGGATAAATTGGTGTGCCTACTTCCAATCCATAGTGCTTACAGGACTAGTTATCCAAACTGATTAAAATTCCACAAAAGCTGTAGTTGAGCCTCCTGTTATAGGGTCTTCAACATATATTTCACTCACTTCTAGTAAGGTTTCAAACTGAAAATCTGCTGTGCGGATGCAATGGAGTACATCAGTTCTTAAGTGGTGTTATGTTTAATCCATATTGAGGCATTCATCTGCTTCTATTGCCTAAATTTTAAATCAGTAACAATTTAAGTTTTTCTATTTTTTTCATAAATTTCACCTGTATTATTTATCTTAAAACAGTTTTTGAATCAAAATAATTATAAATTACTTCTGGTTTATATAATTTTCTTTCTTCTTTGTGAAAGGGAGTCATCATGGAGGCTTTTACAAGTTTTATTCAGATACATTATCTTTTTCTCCTTTTTTCTACTACTCAGTTTAATAACTTGTATAAGCTAAATGCCATTTTAAAAATCACATTTCTATTTTTTAAATTTATCTTGCTGAAAGTATTACATACGTTCCTTCATTTTCCCCATTGACTCCCTCCACTCCGTCCCTGCCTCCACCCCAAGCCTTCACCACACTATTGTCTGTATCCATGGGTCTGAATGGCTTTCTTGGCAGGGAGACTCAGAAATGTACTCCTTAGGCGTGAGCCCTTAGTTTCATAAAGTTTATCTCCCATCCTCTGACCCATGTGTCTTACTAGGATATGTAGTGTATTTTCTACTTCCTGCTCACAAGTCAGATCATCATGTCATCATTGTCTAGTGTTCTGTCCTTCAAGATGATCAAGATACTTGAATTTTCAACTGTGACAGAGAGACAGCATATCCCTGAGGCAGAGAGTATATGTGAACTTCTGCTCTTACCATATGAATAAAAAACAAATGATCCCTTTTAATCAAGAGAATTGTAAAAATATATATTTTCTGCAAGACCAACAGTCCTATAAGAAGCGCCAAAGCCTATGTTACAGACCAGAGAAAAACCAAGCCACACTTAGAGAAAGGGAGTTACATTTTAATTATTAAATTCTGCACAGGCCCAGAGAAAAATGTGTCTTTCAAATTCTGGGCCCCCCCAACATAGAGGAAACTTTCTCTTTTTATACTTTTTCAAGTCCTTTGTCTCCCAAATTTGGAATAAGACTTCCGGACCTTCTGAGAAAGAAGGCCTGCATGCTGGGAAGGGGCCATGAGACCATATCTCAAGGCCTGGCCTGGTGCCAGCACTGACAACTCTGTCTGGGGCATAGTTTATGGCCTCTCTGGAATGGGAGTAGTCTTATTTTCCTTATTATTTAAGCAAGCAAGTGTTTACAGAAGCCAAAATAGCAGGGTTAAAATTTCAAACAGCAGTTTTTATATAAGATGGATGCTTCACCTATGTTAATCTACTTTCACATAACCAAGTGGTAGCCCTAAACAGCAGTTTCTGTGGCAGATAGTATAATACAGAAGCTGTGATTGGGACTGCCACTTGGTAAACTTGTAGTAATATATACATCTACCAAGATTCATTTCATTTTTGCAGGATACTAGTACATATAAGTGAATGGCATGGAAATATGTAAACCATCACCCCTCCATCCTCTAAGTGTTTGACAGTGGTATTAATCTCAGCAGTTCTTTCTATAACACAGGATGGGGCAAAGTAGGTCTACAATTGTTCATATGGAAAATAATACAACAAATAATAATAATACAAGAATAAACTGTGTTCCACATACTCACAGCTGTAAACCTACTTTTACTTCTGATTTAAAATTTTCCTTAGGGAAGGAGTGTGGTTTTCAGGGCTTCCACTTGAGTGATGTCAAGAGTGATATCCTAGTGGCTCTGATTCCACAGGACATATATACAGATTCTACCAGCTGCTAAGTATTTTCTCTCTTAATCATGCACATGAGGACCAAAGAAGTAACCACAGGTCAGGTCCAAAGATACTTGTAAATACTGTTAAACTCCATAAGCTCCCACTTAACTAGAACCATGGTAATGTTTCAGATTCCATGGCATCAGTGTCAGCTCAGACCTTCTAACAGTCCTAGAAATGTTAGGATTTTCCAATTCCTCCTTGTTGAATTACCCTGGAAATGGTTACATTTTCCTTTGGAAAGTGCGGGGAAATTTAGTGTATAAATTGTATGTAGCACTGCAGGCTTCTTTCTCAAAAGAACCATGTGCTTCAATCAATGAGTTCTGAATTTGAGAAGTGACTTTGATCTGGAAGTTGGGTGAGGAGCCAACAACTTCCCATTATAAGAGCTGATGTGAGCCTTCTGCCTATCATCTTTTTTTTATTTTTCTCCCTTTGCCTATCTATCTCATGTCTAAGGACACCATGACCTATTAGCTATTATCACAAATATCTGAAGGTCCAGGCCACTTGATGGAAAGCTGGTAATTATATCTATCTTACCTCTAGTGATTGAGTGCTATGCCCTAGCCTCATTCACATCAATATTAAAGAGCACAGTTTGATAGCAACAATTGACACCATAAACCACAGCTTGTGAAGTGCAGCCACCACCAGCCAAGCTTCTGAGATGTTGGTGCCCACTCAGCAGGGCATTTCTTATAGAGTGTCTTCTGGGCCCACACAGGGATCTTAATTTATGCACTAAAGGAATTGATACATTGAATAGGAAGTACTGGCAGAAACCTGGGAAGCAAATGTGGGAGTAGAGATCCAGTTATTCCACAAGGGGTGGAACATAAGGCTGGATATAGGAAAATTTATTGAACTGAAGCACTCACACAAATCTCACAATTTGATGATCTGGCAATGACAATGAAGTCTATCATAGGAGATGGATGCTCAAGTCTTACATGGTATATCTATTCTAACATCCCCATCTTCCTGAATCTTCTGGAGACTTCCACACCACCATACAAGGAAGTTCCAGACTTTCTTCATATTTGCTATATTCAAGCTTTAAGGAGCTAGTGTAGGAAAATGTTTTAGGATATCTTATATAATTACTAGTGGCCCGGTGCACAAAATTCGTGCACCGGGGCAGGGTGTCCCTCAGCCTGGCCTGCACCCTCTCCAATCTGGGACCCCTCAGGGGATGTCCGACTGCTGGTTGGACATCCCTCTTGCAATCCGGGACCACTGGCTCCTAACCACTCACCTGCTGCTGCTGACCGCCCCTA